CGGAAGAGTGCCATGGAACACTGGTTGCAAAGAGGACATGCTATGTTCGCATGTTACGTAACCTGTTTTTAAAAACTCTCAGAATAATTTCTCTTTTTATTTTCATATAAATAAAAATTATTTATCGTCAAAATGCTCTTCTTAGTTCTTACATAATAGCAGTCCTCGTGAATTAATAAAGAGAAGATAATTATGAGTTGTGGATGGAAAATATTAAAAAATTATTTAATTAATAATACTTTATTTGTAAATTATTTTTCTTATCTTTTCTATCGATGTCTTCGATAACATTTGTTAATGATTATGTCTTGTGCAGAAGCACAAAGTGCTTACATTACTATAGTTATTTTTCTTACAAAATATTGTTTTATTCTAAAATACCTTTCATTTAATCAAAGTTTTACTTCTAATATTTTTTTCCTCTAGATATTAAGTTCCAATGAAAGGTAGTTAAAAAATATTTTTTTTAATTAAATAATACTAACTTTCTTAAATAACGTAAATTAGTTTTTTCTTCTTTTTAATGAGACCAAAGGGAGTATGTATTGTTCCTAGGAAGGAACACTGTTGCACATTAAATCCCTAGGAAGGTATATATTTTTCAGGGAAAGAAGAGATAAGAAGTTGAACCAAAAGAAGTAGCATCACTTGATTAATTAGCAACAAGGGGTAGTGACATTAGACACGACCAGTCACAGTTCCACTTCCAGATTCAGCGATCAGCAGCGGTGGAATTGGGGGACCACTAATCACCCACTAACCATATTTTAACCTCTTCCATCCATCTCAAAGATATAATAACACATGGCACGTGTAAAGCTGTTGAACCAGCAATCATACAGTATAACAAAAAAGTGAAATAGTGGGAGAATGGAAAACGACAATCATATCTAAAAAGAATCAACTTTCTGCTCTGATCCTCCGGAATCCCTATGGTAATGAGGAGACCATACAGAACATACAACATGATGAAAATGGAATCAGGAGGGAATATCCTCCCACTGGTTGACAAGGTATTGGAGGATCCACCACAAATATTAAGCCTCTTAAATATATATTCCCTTCCCCACTTCAACTCTCATGTGTTGCTATCAACACTCACTTACGAACACTGCTATGAGCCTATGACTCCAACATTCATATTACACTTTGGTGACCAAAGAATGTGCTTTCAGCTAATACCAACTTTCTCTACCTGTCCATGAATCGTGGTTCTTAACACTGCACAGCTTCCTAAAATGCTTCTATTCACTGGCACTGATTGGCATGTGAGTTCAAGTCATCAAGAAGGCTAGAAACAGACCCTTCAAGCTTCTTAGCCTGAGGACCAGGCTTCACAATATTGACATCACCCCACTCGGAGCATGGATCCGCCCACCAGCTCCTCCTCCCAGTGCACCACGCCCCTGGAGCCGCTCGATGGCGACCACGTCGCAGGATCTTTTCATCAATCATGTCCAGCACAGGATTGTTAAGTTGAAACTGTCTTGCAAAGGCAGCTCCACTTTCTGCCATCTGATTGTAAACGGAGGCATTAAGGAAGTGAGGTTCCATCTTTGGAGGGTTGTCCCAGATCATGTACCGTAAGTCGCCATTTACTGTTGTGTTCTTAAATTCTGGTGCATTGCAAATGACTGTGTGAAAGTAGCCTTCTTGAGATAACTTCACATTTGTAAAATACATGAGTAGTGTCCGTGGTAAATTGTCCCAACCAAAAATGCAGAACTCTAAGAAGGGTCGGCTCAAAATGACCCATGGTGAACCTGCATGGCAAGATAAGCATTCAACATTTAGAGGGAGAAATGAAAAAGCAGTCATCAGCATCGCACAGGTGGCATGGGAGAAAAAAATTGCCTGTGAAGAGTTTGAACGCGTCAGGTGTAGGCCGCTTCTCTGTAGCTTGAAAAATCTGACTTTTCCGAGCTAAGTATAGCCCCGGGTCAACTACAATAGGCTGGAATCTATCACCCCTACACGACCAAATAAATACATAAATGATCTAGAACTAACTACATACGAGCCAAAAAGTAGCAGTAGTTTTCATACTCTTTCCATCCCAGGTCACCAGTGTGATCAATAAAATTGAGGTCTCTACTAACAGATGAGAAAACGTGGGACAGATCTGATAAAGATAACAGAGGATGGATTAGTAATTTAGAAAAGTATAAAAGAAGGCAAACAACAAACTGAGATGAGAATATGAACCAAAAAAAATAGCGAGAGAAATCCATTGACCTTAAAACAAGCATAATTCAGGGAATAAAGTTTAAAATAATCAGTATTTCTTCACCTAAAAAATAATAATAAAACGATGAATATAAATGTTCTTGTAATGCAACTAAAATAATAGTGCAAAACCAATAAAGATGTCCGGCTCTACTTATGTCAGAGGAATCTCAATGTTTATCTTAATCAACGAGGCCATAACACATAGAGTCTAGAAGAACCAATTCAGATTAGAATGTTGCCACTTTCCAATTGAGAGGCTAACGATAATCTGTAGTCAAACTCAAGATTTTTGGATCAGCCAGCTCCATTGGCTCAACAACTCCATTGCCAAACATGAAATGTGTTGGAGATTCTAGTAAAAAAGCCTGTGGTTAGATGTTTCACTAGTGATCTTTCTTTACTATGGTTACCAACATAGAAACCAGTTTTTTCAGCATACCCCTTACATTATGAAATCAAATTTTACTGCCACTTTCTTTGTTCTTTCTTTACTGCTTGCCTTAGAGAGTGCCATTACTGATATCTTTGATTCTTCATAAGATTTGCATTTTTCCCCCTTTTTTCACCAGAAAGTTTGAAATATAAAAACTTCTTATTTCTTATAAATAAGCTGTAAGCACCTACTTGAAACATGTCAATATCCACATATCGTTTTTGTTACTTCTGATTATGCTTACTTCTCGTAGCTGCTCTGTATCAAAGTCAGAGTGAAAATACCCAATTTTCCTTGTTTAATCAAAAGAGCATAATGGAAGTGCTGAAACAAATATCTAAACAGCTGCCTATTCCCCTTAAAACATTTTAGTATCTACAAGTTATTTTTGCTCAACACTATTTAACATTTGGGCATGCTAAATCACATCCTCTGCACACCATCAGTCAGTCAGACTATCTGTTAATTCACCATTAGAAACTTTATCCACCTTGATACTCCACTTTGTAAGGATGCTTAAAAAATTCCCTTCAATTAGAAGCCCATGCTCCGGTCTTATTAGATCTGTATAACAAGATCAGCATTTCAATTTATCAATTCATGAGCAAATAACAACAATCACACGTAACCCCATGCAATCAGAAGAATTGACTTGGTCCCTTATCAGATTTTGCAATCATAAACACAAGATATTCAACCATCTAAGGCACAAAATACAATCCCCAGCTTAGAACCAATCTCTTCCATTAGGAAATTAATATGCAATGCCAACGCTGTTTGTCAAAAATTCTTGGGCAAAATTTTGGCAGCAGAATAAAGTGCATTCACAAACAGGTTGAACTCGACAAGGGTAAACAAATAAAGTGACTTCAAATTCATAAGATGACCTAAACTAATTCACTAGCAAACTGAACCAGATAACATGAAGAATTTTGATGGAGTTTCTTCGGTATAGAGAGATGAGTTTGAAGAATCTCTACCTCAGAATTTATTACTTGGTTATGGTTATGATAAGAACAATAACTTGAGTCTTTCGGCTGTAACTACCAAGGGCAAGTGCTCCCTGATCTGTCCCCCTTAAATACCCTTCTACCATCTCTACCTTCTCACTCTTCTCTCCCCAGCAGAGACCCCTCTTGAAACTGAATACCCTCAGTTCCCTCTCAATTTTTGTCTCAGATTCATCTCCTGGATGTTACCACACATTCCTTATGCATGAAAAACTGATCAGTTGGAAAACCTGTCTTGTCAACTAAGTGTCCTACAATACTAAGGCCGGCTCTAGGTAAATTCAAAATTTATTTATAAAAAAAATAGAGTTCAAAAAAGTACCACATGGACTGGCCTCAGTTTAATTAACCTGTAGCAACCAATCTAATGTGAAGACATTTCAGTATTGTTTTAAAAGTATAAACTTCAAACTTCAGAATTTTAACAAAAACAAAAATCAATACAAAAAGAAATCTCAAAATGAGAAGTTACAGAAAGTATTAGTTATTCACATAAAGGCAATATTATATGGACCTTGATGAAAGGTCTTTTTTAGAACTAATCAAACAGAATTCATGAGATTCCAAAACAAGGAAGTAAAATTAAGACACCTAGAGAAATTTAAAAACGAAAACCATATCTGACTATTAATACTGACATACATAACTTCAAGCTGATCATATATCAAAGATTAAATGACAAAGACACCATTTTCACATAATATGGGATAAGCAAAATCGAAATGTGTAAACAGGCATCTAAGGACAAGCTCGTTGAATTGAAAATTAATTCTAAAGAGATCAAGTTTCTAATCAATATTACATTTCAAATTTCCTAAGGGTATGTTTGGGATTGGCTCATGGAGAGAAAGGAAGGAGAGGAAAAATTTTGCATTGTTAACAAATATTCTCCAATTTGATAATTTTTTAAAATGAAACCGATAAAATGATATATTAGCAAAAACTCAATGTCTTTACTCTTAACCTTTTTGATCTTTTTAATAAGCATTGCATAACTCTCTTAATTTAAAATAATAATAATAATAAAACTATTTGCTTTCCCTTTCCTTTCCTTTACTTCCAAAACTCCACCACCAAGCATACACTAAAAACAAGTGAGCCTGTGAAAAGGATGAGCTAAAGAAACAACAGTGAATTTTTGGACCACTCAAATTGTAGAATCTTTCCAACAAGTCCCAAGCCACTAGTTCCTAATACCGAGTCACTCTCAAAATCAAATTCATATTACCGAATAACCAATCACCAAGTCCATTGATTTGAATCCCTTTAGGGGGGTAATTTGATACGAACATGAAACCTAAACCTTCAAATTTCCAATTAACACCACACCAATATCGGTACTGACTCATCCAAAACCATGCACAAATCCATTAAGCAAACATAAAAGACCAAACAGGCATACCATCCTGAGTGATGAGAGGATAATCCCTTGCACTCAAAGTGATGAACCAATTCCAGCCACTATCCAATTTGAGCATGATGGCAGCAGCCCGGAGAGCAATGGCAACATTGGAGGATCCCAAGTAGATGACATAATCGGCCTTGCCAACCACATCCACGTTCCCGAAGGCACGAATCGCCGGCACCGCCCTGACGGCGGCGACCAGAGCCTGCCTCTCCTCATCCCTAGCATCCCTCCCTAGATGGAGGAGGTACCTATTCCTGGGATGGTAAACTGCCAACAACAAACGCAAGATCCGGTCCTTATCTTGGTAACCACCAGAGATAAAGTATGCAAAAGCTGGAGGGTAGTGAGAACCATGCTGAACAAGGGTGGGGAAAGCCTTTGGGGAACTAAAGGCAGAGAAAGAAGACATCAACAGAAGCATGAGAGATAGAAATGCAGCACTGAATAGCGTGAAAAGCCATTTCCTCTCAGCTCCCATAGCCACTACTGTTCTCTCTAATTTGGTGTTGGGGCATATGATACAATAAGAGCGTGGCTTCAAAGATGGGATTTTGAGAAGTGGGTATGGCTAGAGCCTGGGTTTGGAGACTCTTCTCGGCAATGGGTCGTTGAAGATCTTGCCTTTTCCTGGTTTGGTGATGATGATGATGAACATGGGAGCTATTAAACTAACCTAATATGTGTACAATAAGATAAAGCGAAATGACATAAAATAATTGGAAGGAAAATGGTGATGGTTGAAAGATGGAAAAACCCGGATCAGAAAGTTCCAAAATTCTGCTCCAATTTTGGTGGTTCAATGCTCGAATTCAAATCCCAACGTTTTTTTGCAGGATCCTTGTGAAGAAGAAGGGGGTTAGGGTTTCTTACTGGCTGTTAGGGAAGAAAATGAAATGGAGATCACGGATTCCCTCTTCTATTTCTCTTTTTTCACTCTATTGAATGATGATGATGATGATGTCAAGATTCAGGTTTATTTTTTTAATTTTTAAGCAACCGAACAAAATGAGCAAATTATTACAAATGAATAAATAAAGACAAAATGCAGACACAGTCTACACTACACATATATTTTTTCGGAAAAAGGTTATATTATATGAAGTATGATACTGTGATTCGATTATGCTTTACTTGCGGGGAATTAGTTGGCTGCTTCTCTACGCGCCACATTAGCGCGTGCTTCACTTTTATCACACACAAGTGTCACAACCTCATCATTGAATGAATCAAAAACAGAAAAGACGAAGCTATCATTAATAATGTTATTATTCATAAACGAGTTTAACTTTTATGAATTATTAATGAGAAAACTACAAACATTAATTGTAAAAAGTTTTTATATTTTTTTTATAAACATTTGTTCAAAATTAATAAATAAAAATTAATTTAAACTTTCGAGAAGTGGATTTAAAAGTCTCATATTAACTTTATATCTAAAAACAAATATTATAATCATTGAATTAGGAGGTTTGGTTATTTTTTTTATATAATCAATCAATTATAAAATACTATTACTATAAATAATTAAATTTTTAAAATAATCATGTTAAAAATTGTATTGAAATTAATTTTTATTAAATATTTGTAATTCAACGATGAAATAAAAACTATTTATTCTTTTGAAATCGGGCATTGATTATGATAAGGTTGTTGAAGTGAAAGGGTTGGGCACGCGCCCTTCTAGTGCGCGGGATAATATTAGTTTCTTGAACTTTTTGTTTTATTCCATTTAATACAATATGATACTTAATTTTCAAAGATAACAATTAATAATAGTAGTTAGTTGGAGAATATATTTAGTTGAATACAAATAAATGTGTTAGTATCCATAGAGTAGGTGATAACAAATTAATGACGTGTTTACTTAATTAAAAATAAATATTATATTTTCTTATAATATTTCAATTATTCTATAAAAATATTATTTAAAAATGTATTTGATATTTAAAAATACTTAATACTTATTATATAAAAAGGAGAAAATTTAGAAAAATAAAATTACTTTTATTTAAATAATTTATATCTTCTAATTCATATCAAGTGAGAGGAAATTTATTATGAGAGATGAGAGTGTTAAAATATAACCCTTAGATTAATCAAGTGAGAGAAAATTAATTTAAGGGTTATATTTTAACCCTCTCATCTTTCATAATAAATTCTCTCTCACTTGATATGCTCCTTATATATATATATATATATATATAAAGAGGGTTCCAACGACACCGGCTTTTACTAAGTGTTACACCGCTCAATAACTTTATATTAAATGTGAATTTTGAAAATCCAACCGTTAGATTGAAAGTTCATATCTCTTAGATCATATATATCAAAATTTATATTAATATAAGATGATTTGATACTTCATTCTCATAAAACAAAATTAACGTAATATATACATTTCAAAATATAAACTAACGGTTAGATTTTCAAAATTCACATTTAATATAAAGTTATTAAGCGGTGTAACACTAAGTAAAAGTTACACCGTTGTCGTTTGAACCCTCCAATATATATATATAAAGAGAGAGAGAGAGAGAGAGAGAGAAAGAGTGGAAAATAAAATGACTTTAAGAGTAATTTTTGTTTAGGTTATTCTACTTAATAATTATATGTTAAATTTGAATGATTTAACAGTTAAATTAAAAGTTCTTAATGTATAGATCAAGTTTATAAAATTTTACAAAATTTGAAAATCATATGATAATTCCTTATATAAATTAAAATCAATGCATAAAATATTTTTATAGTTATCTTTCGGTTTGAATTTACGGAAAAAAAATATATAATAGCTCTCAAAAATTTTAAAATTTGTAAATTTGATCCATATATTAAAAAATAATTACTAAACAATTGGATCTTTGAAATTTAACATACATCATATATAAGTTATTAAGTGGAATAAATTAAATAATAATTGTTCTTTTAGTTATTTAAAAACACTAATTTAAAAAATATCAATGAAGATAATTTAAATTTTTATTTAAATATAATATTTTTATAAAAAAAATTATTTCTTTTAGTTTATCATTCTTGATTTTATTCCTAAAATAAAATTTAATATTTAATTTTTTATCTATAGTTAAAAATTATCGTGTATCACAATATATTATGTATCATAAAATTACAATATAATTTATATGATAAAAATATTTATTTATTATAAGTTTTGTGTATAAACTATAAATTATTCTTTCTTCTAAAAGCATTTTTTTTTTATTCACAAACTAAAGTATCTATAACTATTAATAAAGGAAATATATTTTTAAATAATATTTATATTTTAAATTTTTTTATTCATTTGGTTATACAATAACTCCTTATATTTAAGGGATAAAATGAATAACATATATAATCGATTTCTTTAATTAATTATAAAAAAATTAATAAATATATATTATTAGTATAGAAAATTAATATTAATGTAATTAATGAAAAATCATCGTTAATATAATTTTAATATATTTAGGGGTCGTTGTCATTTGTGAAATTAGAGTGTTGGGAAAATAAATACAAAAACATTTAAATATGAAATAATTAAAAAAGTAGCAGTTAATGCATTTAAATGAATTAAAATATGAAAATTGGAAAGAGATCCATTGGCGGCAGAAACTGAAAAGTTTGACGAGGCGAGAACGTGGAACGAAACGTAACGTAGCTTTGACAAATACTCAAATTACTGATAAATCAGACGAAAGAAACGTGTCCAATCGGAATTCAATTTAAAAGAACAATTTGTGGTTTGAACTTTGAACTTTGAAATTTGGGTTAATATAATATGTATGCAAATGTTGATTGATGTGTGTGTTGAACTCATCTTCCCTGTGTGCCTGTGTCAAACAAATAACTGTTTCAAAACTCTTACCACTATTTTACCAAAATAATCCAATAATATCTTCATAACACTTTCAATTGCAACTAAATTATATTTGTGCACATACTTTCACTTTAAATTAACATATATGTATGATTTTACTCTTGATTCAAAAACTAAACATATGCATGTCATGGAATCGATTTTCGTCACGTGAGTGTAAATGGGTAATTCATGGATCATTTGTTTTGCTATTCACACACCGATTTTTTTATGACTGTAACGACCCGCCACCTATGTAAGCATATGGAAACTCACGCTCAACGCAAACCTTCTAGAGGAAAATTCAAGTTTCCACGCTATGCATCGAATAAATGCTTACCACCAGAGCTCTAAAGGTCCATTTCTTGTTGTTCTTTGTCTCACGCTAAGTTTGGATTTTTATGGTTAGCAATAGAAGTGTTGAAATGTCATTATTGATAAGAGACAAAAAGGTTTATGACATAAAATCGGGTAATTTTGAGAACATATTATTGTTAAATATTTCTTGGAGTGTGTGTGTGGAGAGCTCTAATAGCTTTAAGATCAAGTTTTTTTTCCTTTCTTCACCATTTTTATTGTGCTTCATGTCTGTGTAGTTAAGTTTTCCCTTGTTGAGGTTTAATGTAACCTGGCTCATTCTTATGTATACATTCTAAGTTATTAATCTTAGTTGTTACTTAGTATTATTTCTCTATCTTCTTTACTTAATACTTGTTATGGTTTGGTCTCCCTTAACTTGAACTTTTGGGTTTTATAGTGATTGAAAAATACTTGTGGACCTTTGAACTAAAGTAAAACAACAATTGTTGCTTACTTCTACAAATGAAGTAATTTCTATTAGTTTTTCTTAAGCTCTTGTTTTAAAACTTGGTCTATTAGTTAAATTATGCAAGGAATTGATAACTTAATCAAGAAGCTTAAACTCGAACTTGTAAGAAATCAAGGATTGGATATATTTGTGAGTGAATGATAATGTCTAAATTTTAACTAGATTGAAACTTATTTGGAAGCATGAGATGAAGGTTTGGTGAAGTTAAACCCTAATATATTTAATTATTGTGATAAAATCAGGTTTTACATTTCATGTGTTTGTAAAAATACCAAAAAGATTTCTTACCACATTTATCTTTGTTTCAACACTTTATTTATTTTGGCAATCAATCAACATTTCTATTCTCGATAGTTTACTTTAGTATAATTAGTAAGTATTGGGTAAGTCCCTTGGGAGACAATACACATACTCATCATTGAACTGCTTATATGATCGAATCTTTGAATTAAAAGTTTTTAATAAATAGATCAAGTCTACAAATTTTTAAGAATTTAAAAATTATTTGATACTTTATTTTATTCATTAAAATCGTATCTAAGTAGACTTACTCTCTCTCTCTCTCTCTCTTTCTCTCTTTATATACATACATAAACGCACACACACCGGTGTAACTTTTACTAATTATTACACAACTCAATTGTAACATAGTAAGTTGATTCAAAGTTTAGTGGATGCTAAAGAGAGAAGAGTATTTAAGGCTTTCTCTGAGAGTAGAGCCTCATAAGCTCATTCTTAAAGAAATCTAGAGAGAAGGACTTTGGGTCTGTGAGCTCCTTTCTCTCCCAAATTTCTCTGTTTAATTATTTTTATTCTCTAGATCACTAACTCCTTCTGTATTTTCTTAGGATTCAGGCTAGGAAGCTTGTTTTTGGAAGATTGAAGTTCGCGGATCGGGCTTCGAGAAAATTTCTTTTTCTTCTTAGTTCTTGGCTATTTTAAGCCAATCTTCAGGTGAGGGAAGCTAGAATGTATTTTGTTTGGTTGCAGGTGAGTTTAGGAACTCAATTGATGCATGAATTTTGAGAATCCATGGTGGATTGGAAAAATTGCTCATTTTTCGGGGTTTTGGGAAAAATGAGTTTTTTTGTGATTTTGATGCATTGGGTGGGTGCATATTGAATCTAAGAATGTTTCCTAGTTTTATGGAGTCTAATTATTATACTGCATGGATCGCATGTGGTGGAAATCTTCTGATTTTCAGGTTTTGATGGAATTTTTGAAGTTTTGGAGGCTGTTGTATAAATTTGCGCCGGGCGTGCCTTCATCAAGGGCAATTATTTCTTGATCACGCCGGGCACGATTGAAAATAGGGGTCTCTGGATGGGTTCATGCCGGGCATGAGGAGAACCATGCCAGGCGTGATATTAGATAATGGCCTTGCATAGCAGGTTACTGATATGGCACCAGGCGCAGGGTAGGTGTGCCGGGTGTGGAGACCTTTGGAGGTCTCTGTCTAGATGGCGTCAAGCACAGGATGGCTGCGCTGGCCTTGTAGACTCCTATGAGTCTTTGTCTTAAGGATGTCGGGCGTGAGTTGATTGCGTCGAGTGTGAATGAACCCTAGAGCTCTCGGGTTGGATGTTAGGCCGAGCGCGAGCTGGCTGCGCCGGGCATGAGTATGCTTAGTAATGTTGATTAAAAATGATGCTTATGCATGTTTAAAGTTGAAGATTGGATCATGTATGTATGATATATGATGTATGGTGGTGTACGATTCATATGTATGCTTGGTAATGATGTATATGAATTTTTAAATTTTTTTTTTTTTTTTTTTTTTTTTTTTTACAATGTTACAATGACAATTATATTTGTAAAAAAAATTGTTTCATTAACATGCACTCTTAGTATAAAAGTTTTTATGCTATCAATCAATAAATAAAAAAAAATTAAAGTAGTTATTATAAAAATAAATAAATTTATCATATGTTATAGTTAGAAAATAAATTGCAAACTCCAATAATTTTGCTTTTATTTGTTTCTTAAAACAATTTTGTTATGATTTGGTTTTAAAAGAAAAAAATATATAAAATGTAGACTACATGTATTATTTACCGAAAATAATCTTATATGAGTCAACTAAAATTGTAATAGAAATTAGTTTTTAAAAATATTCAACAAAATTCGAATATTTAACTATTTACTTTAAAGGTCAACTTTTAAAGAAAGGATTTGCAACAAACTGAACTCTCAGAGTATTACAACACAATATTCTCACAATAGCATATGCAACTTTAAAACAACTTTTCCTCTAATCCCATATCAATCAACACAATACAACTTTAATGCCAAAACATTCTAAACACAGCTACTCAGTAAACAACATGCAACTCAACTCAACTTTCAACCATTAAATCAAATATATACTATCCTAGATCAACGTATAGAGATTCAACATCATACATTAGTATACAACATATAACACAATTTAATCATCATAAACATGTATAAGAGATAACCAAAATAATAAGAATTTTAGTTTTGCAATATAGGTTATTTCTTTGAGTATATAAAGGGGTTCCTTTCTACCTCTTAGAGCATGTATTTTCAGTATTCATTCAATTCAATAATACAATTTAGTTTTCTCTCATTCTCTCTTCCCCTCATCTTCATTATCTCTCATATGGTATCAAAGCGATCCAACCATGGTAGCACAATCTTCCGCTTCTACTTCTTCAATTGTTCAACCTCTTGTACTAGTCTCAATCAAGCTTGATGATGACAATTTTCTAATCTGGAAAATGCAAGCAATTGGTGTCATTAAATCCTTAAAGCTGCAAAAATATGTAATCATCACAAAGATGGTGGTATGCCTCCAAAGTACTCCAATTCAGAAGACAAATTATCAGATAAAGTTTCAGAGACATATTCAAATTGGGAGCAGCAAGATCAACTAATTTTTATGTGGCTCTTAGCATCTATGTCACCAAATTTGCATTCAAGAATGGTGGGTTGTGTTCATGCATTCCAGATTTGGCAATCTTTACATCTTTATTTTGAAACACAAACAAGAGCTCGTGTCTGTCAATTAAAATCACAGCTTAAAGGTATCAAGAAACAAGATTCTTTAAATTCATATCTTCTTGCCATCAAGAAGATCATCGACACCTTGGCATCAGTTGGTTCACCAGTTGATCCTGCAGAACTAAAATTCTTATTATTTTGGTTATCTCTTATATTATTGAGAAAAACTCAAGTCTCGTCAATCCTAGATCATTAAAAAGGGTTACCTACCATTTATTTACGTACCAAGCCCAATAGTGTTGAACGTGAGGGGGTGTATTGGGAAAACCCAAGTCCCACATCGACTAGAGATTAGGCAATTAAATAGTATATAAGTGGAAATCAACCCTCACCTTACAAGCCGGTTTTGTAGGGTTGAATTAGGTTTTAATCCGTTATTCTAATATGGTATTAGAGCCATTTAGATCCACCAATTTCATAGCATATACACATTCACCAATTTCATCATTAAACAACAAGTTAAATCAATGCAACTTGTGCCCAACGCTATCCATCTCGTGCCCAACGTCATTGAGTCAGGGAGCCTTTTGCCTTGTTCGCGGCCGATGCCATACAACTCACATTTGACATGGATTAGATAGAGATCCTTAGGCCCTCACGCCTAGCATGGCAAGATTCCACGCCCAACTTTAATCCAACCCGAGGCAATTCTCTCTTTTCATGCTTGACGCCACCCCTTTGGCGCCCAATGCCAATCCAAGCAAAGTCAATTTTCTCACCTCACACCCAACATCATTCAACCCACACCTGACACCAATTTAATCTGAGATAGTAATCTCTCCTCACATTCGCACCACCAATCTTGTGCCTAGCATGAACAAGACAAAGCGCCCCTGATTAAACTATGCCTGACTCCATGAAGGCACGCCCCACACAACTTTTAAATTTGCACATTATAGTTTCATGAATTGGCTCATCCACATTTGAAACTCAAAAATTTCCCACATGCAATGACAAATACAACATCTACACATCATTCATGTCTCAATTCCAATCAAAATAACAACTTGTAACCATATTTAGATAAAGTCATCAACAACCTCTCTTAAAAATAGAGAACCCGAGAGCTTAACAACTAATTTCAATTTCATGTAGTTCATCAACATAAACAAAATCATTCAACAACTATATTATACACTACAACTCGTAGATAATAAAGAACTAGGTATGACTTCCCTTACCTTAAGATTAGTCAAAAAATGAGGAAATAGGAAGAAGGAAACAAATGACTATTCCTCACCGACATCAATTCTTTGTTTTTCGAGTTTGAATTCATCAACATAGCTACTTAAGATCTTCGAGGAAAGGTTCAGATGTTCATTGTGGGATTCAAAGGAAGAAAGGTCACCCTTGCCTTCAATCTCTCATTACCCTTTCCTTAAGTTCTATGAGAAAATAAGTTTTTGAAGCTTTTGTCTTAAAATAAATCTTATATACTCTTCCATCAAATTCAAATGAGACATTTGCGTAAAAAAACTCTCTAAAATACCACAAGATTTTTTAGAAGTTTTTTAACTCTCAAAATCTCTCAACAACATATCTCAAAACACCACAAAATATAATTTTAAATAAATCAATAAAAAAATATTAAAAACGTACATTTTTACATTAGATAGGATCCATAAAAACTAAGAAAATCTAAAATAAAGTGTGTAAGTTGTAGTAAATCGTTTGTCATTGAATTTAATTTTTATAAAAAAATATATAATCCAAAAATTCAAATATACTATAATATGAACTTGAACTTGAACTAAAAATGGACATTTATGAGTTAGGTTTTGAAAAATATTTTTAATATTTGTATATATTGAAAATAAAATAAAAAATATTAAGTATATACGATATCAAATATGATATTAATATTAAAATAATGAAACTAAAGCAAAAAGTGACCTACAATAAGTTAGGCAGGGTTCGAACATTTTTTAATTTTCTTTCTTGATGCCGAATTTACTGTTTAAGTATATGTGAATGATGAGACCATCAAATTTACTGATTATGTATCAAATCAATAGGTTAGGCTTAGGCATGGTCCGAACTCTGGTTCATTTTCTTATTGTCTTTTTCTCATAATACTTGTATAATTAATTGATGAAAAAATATATCCACGTTGATAAAAAAAAATCTCATTATTATCTCATTATAAATTATTATATACCATAAGTTAGTTTTCGTTTATAATAATTATTCTAAAAAGAATATTAAGTATTATTTTTTAGTAGTCACATGCATATTGAATTCTTAACTTATATGGTTTTTTATGATAAAAACAACATTTAAAAAAATTAAAATAAAAAAAATTATAGATAATATAATTATTTTTTGTTATATTTACCGTTGTCTATTTTGTTTTATTTTTGACTATTGTCTATTTGAACCATGGTCCCGTGTGGTGTACATACTGAAATTAAGATGCAGCACTATAGCCATAATTATTTCGTGTTTCACTTTTGAAAAGTATTCGACCTATATTTTTTTTAGTGATATCACTTCATACATTTTATTAACACTTATTATCTCTCTTTATTTCTCTCCTAATCAAATTGTCACTTATCATATTTGTACTTCTCTCTTTTCTCATTTTATTGTTTGAGTGTCCATTTATTATTATTATTATCTCATTCTCATTTTAATGTTTTTTTTATCAAAGTAAGATTCTTTAAATCTTAATTTTCTTTTGTTGAAAAAGATAAAACCCACTTTGATGTTAATTATTAAAAAAAATCTTACTACCAATCAAATTAAGCTTCTTTGATATATATTCTTTTAAAACACCAGAATGAATAATTTAATAAAAAACCCATTTCATAGAAACACTTGAAAATAAAAAATAAAAACTTACACGATTACACCCTAAAACTTTTGCCTTTCTCCCCTGTTAAGTGGTACGAAGCGCAATAATTATATTAAAAATTTAGTATACATCTAATTAAAACGTCTAAAAGTTTTTAAGTTTTAACAGTGATTAAATAAAATTTCAATACAAAATTTATTTAAAAAGTATTTATTTTCTTTAAAACTAAAGTAACCTTTTTCATAAAATATAGTACCAGAATAATATTTTTTTTTTCAAAATCTTATCTGACTGCACCATTAAAAACCCTTAAATAGCCACCATCGCCTCTCTAATGTTAATCTTTATTACACAAATTATTATGACAACTTTAATTGATTAAAAAATAACACTAGAAATACTTAAAGTATGGCATCTAAAATTTGTCCACTTAACAATAAAAAAAATAAAGAATTCAAAATCCATTTCGTCTCCCAAAGATCAACCTCCACCTAGCCAGTTTTTCACCGCTGGAAGGTTAGATTAGTTAAAATTTGCTTCACATTTTTTAATGCCAAAGAAAAATTATTTAATGTCGATTAATACAAACACAAAATATAGCATTTCTCTAACTTACAACCCTCAGCACACCGATAAATAGTGCGATGATTGAATTCCCAACTTCAAGACAGGCTTATTAAATTCTTCTAAGCCAGATTTGATAAATACATTTAATTCATTATGTATTGGATTATTTTGCAAAAAGTAATTACCAATGAGAAAAGGAAAAGAAAGAAACCATAGTGGTATAACTTCAGATTGAGTGAACCGAGTCTTCATCACTGCCTTCACTGTCACTGCTGCTGCTACTCCCACTCCCACTTCCACTTCCGCTTTCACTACTGCCACTTCCACTGCTACTGCTAGAAGAAGATGTCTGCTCATCCCTCCCCTCTGCATTCACCTGGGCTCTCAGAGCTTCTGTGGTGTCTGGTCCTTTGTCCACCTCATCACCACTATCATCCACATCAACCATCTCATCATCAGTGTGTGCCTGTGGAACATTCATGTCAAATCCAACATCAACATTATCTTTTTCTTCCATATTATGGTCATCCTCAGGTGTTTCACTGCCAAAAAGGTCATGAATATCTATATCTTGATGTTCCTCGACTTCATTCTTGTCACCTGGTGAGGTATTAATGGGAAGTTCATTTAGATTATCAGCTGACCTCTTAGAACCAGATTTGATGCCTGCCATATGACGAGTACAACATTAAATTAATCTCAGTTCATTGATTAATAAATAGCAAAGCCACTGCAAACTGTTTCATCAATTGTGAATGCACCACATCCAACAAAAAAGTCATCTGTCAGTTTGTACAAGACAATGCGGAAAATTGTAATAAGCAGCAACGAAAACACAAAAATCAAGTTGGAAAGCATGAATTAAAGATATTTACATAACAGGTGATATAATAAATAACCTCGCACAGATTTAATTATATTAACATATTATACTCAGCTGCATCACGTCATAACGATGAATATGAAAAGGTTAGAGCCTGTTTACTTCGAGAAAATGTTTAAAAACTCAACACAGTCCAAATATGCAATTACATAAACCTTCAAACTATATGATGCATACCAGTATTTTCAGGTTCACCAATATCAATACGTTCCACCTCAACCTATGCAGAATCAACATAAATATCATTAGTTATTTGAGTAGAAAAAGAGACAAGAAAAAGAACAAGAAGCAAACTATTTGCCATCCTTCCATTACTGCAAGCAATGACTCTGACCGAAAGAAAAAATATGGTCAACACCTTGGAAAAGAAATTTGCAGGGTATTTATGCTTCATTTAGAAAACCATGTATGCCAATCTAAAAATATAAAATTACAGCCTTTATTTCCTTTTATAATCCTCATATTTTTTCCTTCAATTAACAAGTACTTCAATTATGCTGATAAAAAAATGAAAATTAGCTTACTGAGTAATTCAAGGATACAAAGATTGGCCCTGTCCTCAAGTGAGAAGTACCTCCATGATAACAAGTAAAAACAATCATGTTTATGATGCTATTATGGTATCTTGAGGATATGAATTATGATAATCTATTAATCATACACAAAGTACCACACATAATAAGATTTTAACTTCCATAAAAACAGTACAAATCTTGAAGGATTGCAAAAGTCACAATATTTATAATGGAATATTATTTCCAACCATTTTTAAGATTCAATGGACTTAACTATTATACAAATAACTATGATATAGATTGTTAGTGAGCACTTACTGGCACAGCCTGAAATGAGTTCCTGCCAAGAGATGCTGGTTTTACAGGCTTTCCAACTGGGGATGATCGAGGATCCAAACCTGGTCCAGATGGACCAGCAAGACCTGTAGCCGCAGCAGCTGCAGATTCACCAGGCATTCGTAGGTGCCGCAGTTGCTTTACAGCCCTATGAAGTCGCTCCAATCGAAGTGTCTCACCATCAAAGAACAATACAGCGTCATTTTCCTTGTATTCCTCACTGTTCCCCTCAAATGTCACCTTGGGTTTGCCTACTTGATTGTTCTGAAATTCCACAGCAACCCTGTTCTCTTTGGACTTGCGTAGATATCCTGGCTTAGTCTTATCAACTGAAGCTGGTTTAAATTCATCTGTACAGATTTCAAGATTTTAAATATTAAATTTCAAAATAAACAAGCTAAACAAAAAAATCAATGTCAAAAGCAAAACAATAAAATAATTGCAAAATCAAGTGTGAACATTCCTCGTCTAGTTGCTAGGAATAAAAGAGGAAAAAAATACTGACCCACCAGAAAATAAATAAATAAATAAAAAATAAGAAAGGGCTTTTGTATTTGGTAACTTACATCGTAGAGTGCAGTATTTATTAGAGGAATCATCTTTGAAGGAAGATCCAAGGGTGAGATTGTACCACCGATCAGGCTCAGGAGCACTCTTTGGCTCTTCTTGAGATTTGTTGGCCATGGTTTGTAGGAAGTATATCACAAACCTGAGACAGCCTGTTTGGAACATTTTTTTTTTATCATAATCAAATTCATTCAAAAAAAAGCACAAATTTAAATAGCTAACATGAAAATAAAGAGCATAGAATCGACTCAGCATTATAAAAACATGGACAAAAGGATATGTGAATTATATATACACGAAGCCTTCCCACATTATGTAAATGACTTTCTGATTTTCTGTCAAAAAAAATGGTTTAACAATTAATAGATTGCACATGTAACTTGCGTATGAAATACAAAAAAAATCAAAAAATTCTAACAAAGAACCTTTTAAAACTCTCAACACCATCATGCTAAAACATTGGGACTCTCAATGCCAGTTTTGCTTCTGGACAGTCTTTAAGCAGCTAGGTTTTGTGCTAACCTACCCTCAACTAAATGAATTGATTAATTATTATGTTGCTACGATTTGTTCTAGATCTGGAAGGCTAGAGAATGTCTTGGATTTGGGGGATAAATTAAATTGCAGTTTTTCTTGCTTGTGTGAACTGAAACAAATTATATAAAACGAGGGAAAAAGAACTATTCTAAAATATTTGGCACATGACACCTGATTATGTTATTTGTTCAATGATTAACATACTGTTTAGGTGTATCCACAGGTTAAAATATTTATAGGTAGCAATTGTGAGAAGCCTGGTTGTCACCACCCATCATTCACTTCATTCTATTTTGCCTGACAGACAATTGTGATTGTGATCCACATTTGCCTCTCCATATTTAAATTCTCTTTTAGCATATGGCTTGAAAGTTTCTTGAACAGTTCATATATGGTGGTATTTACATTTGTAATAGGTGCAAAGGTGTTTTAAGGATGACTCTTCTCATCACACCTATGAAGGGAACCATAATCACCCACTACCACCAGCAGCCAGACCTTTGGTAAGCTCAACATCAGCTGCATTGAACATGTTCCTTTCTGGCTCAATCACAAGTTCACATGGCATCACCACTCTATCGAATCCATACCTTTTCTCTTCTCTATCTACTATTTTCCCCAACTGTTGTGGTTACTTTCTCCTAATCTGCAACATGTCCCACAGTAACACCAGTCTTAACCCAGCCCCTTAATAACTATTTGCAATTCCAAAGGGACACCACTTCACAATACCAGAGACAATCATTGTTCCTTCTGCAACTGCATGGCCACCCTCAAAGGTGCCATTTGATTAAATAGTTGAGAAGCCTCCTTAGGATCCTTGCTTGCAATCATGATTAAATGTTATGTATATGAACAAGGATCCTAAGGAGGCTTATCACTTCATATGCTTGAGATTTTAAAAATCCTAAAATAATCAAGGTAGAAGAATGCAAAATCCAGCTTAACTGAAAAGCATAATCAAACACACAAATCAACAAATCCTAGGACCAAATCTAAAGCGACAAACCCAAGCATGTAGAGATGAGAGAGTGAGAGGCAAACCAGAGAAAGATTGTGAGCTCAAGAACAAGAACAAGAGAACGTCAAGCAACAATGAGTGATTGTCAAGTGAGACTCGAGCGAGATTGAGTAGTGCAAGAATTGGTGAGCGAGAATCATTGAGCAGGAAAGAATTCTAAAATTCATTGTTTTTGGAGGGAATTTACAATTTAAAATTTTAGTTAAATAAAATTACGTTTTTAAATTTCTGAAATTTTAATTTTTTAATAGAGTATTGAAACAAGACATTTTCTAGTATATAAGATTTTAAATCCCCTAAATAAGTACTTTTCCTATTTAAAATTTCCTATCCAAACACACCATAGGGGTTTGTTTGCTTTGATTGGGAGAGGTTGAGATGGAAGTAAGGTTAGGAATTGTGAGTCTAGATGTACTCATTGGAGATGAGACAGGAAATGGACTGGACTTTAGTGCTCCTAACTTACTCATAAACAGCACACTAGAACCATTCAACTATCTAAATCAAGTCTGGTTAAAACCATTTTAAAACCAGTGCGGTAATTTCAGGTGTGTTTTTATTTGATTTTTGGAGTGATTTGGTTCATTTGGTTTTTTCACACACCCCAACTCAGACCAATAGATTGGCCAGTTTACCCATTCAACAGATGAACCAGACAAACCAAGTTTTTCAACATTGCTATTCCAGCCGATACATCTCATTTTCTTCCCTCTGATTTGTAATATACAGGATGGAACCAATTAATTTCTTGTCTTCAATTATAATATTTAAACAATACAATGACAACTTTATTTTATCTCATTCCATTTCACTCTCAGATTAAATATTCAAATAATGCCTAAGTATCCAGACTACTTTTCATCGTTCGGCACCATCAAGTATCAACACAATCTCATCAAATACACAAATCAACCTTCACGATAACTACATCATCAGAACAGCAAAGTTCCATTCAAAAATCGAAATTATCACATCACTCAACTTACAACTTTACTTTCAATACAATAATTGTTAAAAATACTGATTACGAGACATCAATCAAAGAGCAGTAATATTAATAAAACCAAAAACACGTACCGGTATTACGGTGCCGCAGCGGCAAATTTCACCTTAGGGTTCAGTCATCAGTGTTCCTTTTCCTCTTCTCTGAAAACAATAACGAGGGAAAGCCTGGGAAATCAACCGTTGTCATGTCATCTATATAAATATGAGAATTTTCTTTTTTAATTGACAACAAAGTGTTTACAAGTGCGTTAAATCCTTTTTATATACTTAATTAATTATTAATCATTATAAAGAAGTATATCTAAAGATTTCTCATATTAAAATTTTGTTTGATGTTGAATGTTGAGATTTGAGATGTGCAATTGTGTTTTGCCTTTATAAAAAAAAAATCAGATTATAATTAAGTTATAGTTAATACTTTTATTTTATAGCCTACAATTAAAATTTTATAATTTACAACAGAATTACAGAATAATTACGGTTAAGCAATAAGATAATTTATAATTGAATTAAGCACTAACCGAACGTGAACTGTGAACTGTGAACGGAGGAGGTGGGTTGCTAACGGAGTGCGGAGGAAGGTTGCCGAGGCCGCGAACAGCTGTGTGACGGAGTGAGAGCAGAGGCCAGAGGGTTCCTTCCGTCACAGAAAGCGGCGGTTTGTGAGTGGCGATATGCGGCGGAGGGCTTCGTTCGTGGATTCAAAATATTTTTCTTAAAACAACCCAACCAAACATTAATTTGGATTTAAGATTTTACTCGAGATTAGTATTGGAGTGCTCCGGTAAATGTTGCATTTAAATAAATTAATAAATGCATCATTCTTAATTTCGTATCGCATTTTAAGAGATTTTTTTGGAAAAATCTCCACTTAATTTTACTAAGTCTTTGGAATAATATTCACTTAATTTTATTAAATTCACTTAATTGTTAATTTTAAAATATTATGTAAACTATATTTATGATAAAAATATATATATATTATTTGTTGTTTTTTTCGTTCATGAATCATGATGCAGAATTTATGAGTTTTTTAGTTGAAAAGATTTTTTCATTTTTAAGTAAATTTCTATTTTTTTAATGAAAGTCATAAAAAAATGTTTGAAAAATATATATAGTTACTATTATTTAACTTTTTTTTTTATAAACATCTCTTAAAAAAAATAAAACTAACACAACAAATTTGATGGTGACTATATGATGACAATATTATAAAACTCAAACAAATGTTTATTGGATTTACTAAGTAAAATTGAAAACAAAAAAATTATGATCACATTAGTTATATGAATTACACGAAGTCATTTTATTCTATTAAAGATAAAATCTTTAAATATATTATTTATCATGATATTTTATTAAAATATTTTTTAATGTTCTTCTGTCTTTCTCGTTTTATTTGGTCAAGATTGACAATCATGTAATATACTTTTTAAATAGATTATTATTCTTTAGTGACCTTTTTATGTGTTTACACTGTAAAAAAAAAATTTATAATTTTATCATCCTTTCCTCTAATGATGTTGCAATAGTATTCTCTTTGATATAGTTATTTTGCATTCATCTTTTATTGTACTATTACTCGAAAATCTTAACATTCTCACTTTTACCACTTCAAATACATTTTTTAAAATAATTCCTTTAATACCTAACATTTACTTCCATGATAATGTTACAATAAAACTTGCCTTTGAGTTTGTTTGTTATTATCAATAAAAAAAAATATAATAATGACAATAAGATTCAAGTATAAAACTTTATATATATTATCTAAATCCTCCATCACAAACTTGCTTTGCTACTAAACTTGTTAAATAGTACTTTACAATCACAAATATCTCCTGCACCTTTTTCTCCAATTTAATCATCCACTGACATCTTGTTTTTAACATCCATATTAATTTTCCTATCATTTTGTACTATGGTTGCAAGTATTTAAACTTATAATGGAATATAAGAACTTATCCTAACTTTACTTTAAAGTCAAATTCCTTGTCCTCTTGCCAAAAACGTAATGCATATATTATGTTTTACTTTTACCTAAATAAAATCTCTTAGGTCGTAAATTTTGTCAATTTGTTTTTTTGATTCCTAATCAAAAGTACATCATTTACAAAAAATTATAATTTTGGATAATATTTTTGATTAGGAATTAAGAAAACAAATTGACAAAATTTATGACCTAAGAGATTTTGCTTAGGTAAAAGTAAAACATAATATATGCATTACGTTTTTTTAGTACACGAAATATTAAATTAAACAAGTAAATATTTAGAATTAAACATTTTATGTAATTTTATCTTAATAGAAAAAGTTTTTAATCTCACTTCTCATGGTATTTACGTTACTAGTTACTTTACCATGCATATCTTGCAAAGAGGTTGTAAGTGGTCAATCATAAATAATAATTATGGACCTTTGAATCAAAGTAGGTACAGGTTATTATTATAGGATTTATATATTGTAGCCTTGTTTCCTATTTACTTTTCCTAACATTTAATTATGGAACCATGAACCATTGGAGCATTGCCCACCATAGTGAGGGAGATTAGAGTGTCATTGACCACCAAAAATAGACGTCGCCTCTACTCTAAGTATTTTTGTTGTGCTAAATAACATGTTGCCTTCGCACTGAGTTGTGACCTCCTTTGCAGTTAGTCATGGGTCTCCACACTACTGTGTCATTTGCCTTCGTGTTGGTTGAAGGTTGTAGATATTTTCATTAGGTCAAAACCTTCTAAAATTATTTTTAATTTGTTGCAAGTTGCATGTCATTTAATTTTTGTGTATGTTTTCCAAATTAAGTTCAATCTATATCATTAGACCCTTAACTTTGATATTTCTTGTTCTCTTTCAATTGTTGGTTGCAAGTAGTTTTGATGTGATAAAGGGGTCAAGTCTTCTAGTCATAGATTTTTATATTCAACAATTAAAGTTTAACAACGAGACACATTCCCATTAGGAATGAATGATGGTAGACTGATGTAAATGAGATTTTAGGAACCGAAGGGGGAGGGAGAAATAAAAATAATAATAAAAGAATCTAACATGGTGATGGAATCATAATATATTGAATAACCACATGGATGAGATACATTTAATGGTTAAAAATAATAAACCACCATAGATCACCTAACAAGGTAGTCCATCATAGCCTCCACCTATCTTGCACAATCTAAATGTAAGTCACATGAATACCATTATTTTCCACATTTTTTCACATCGATTTTTTTGCACTTGTTCATATTCTTTTTTGAGATAATTAAAACCATATGTAAGTCTCTTCCTTAACTTTAATACTCTTCAATTAATCATTTAAAAGATAAATATTTTTTATTGAAAATATTTTCACAAAATCATGTTGATTGTCTAAAATCCCTATATTTGTTCTCATGATCAATGCTCAATCACCTTTTCCAACAAATTCATAGTATGATCCATAAGTTTTTCATTTTGAGTCAACACGTATAACAATGCATTTTCTCAAATATATGAACCAAAGGGCTATTCCTCCATTCATTTGGCTTCTTCTCAAATATCAAAAAATCATTAAATAGTACAGGAAACTAAATGATACCTCGTTTTCTTACTCACGTCCAAACTTAAACGACAATATTATCTGGGTCAACAATTTTACCTTGTTCACATACTTAAGGGCATTTCTTACGCCTATAATTTGAAGTACATGACAGTTAATAAAATTTTGTTTATCTTGTATTTATATTGTCTTCATGTTACAAGTTGATCATTATCTATAATTAAAAAAAATTATATTTTTTTTCCAATTCCACCTTATATATTGATATTTTACCAAAATTTTCCATTATCTATCCTTCACACATCTTATACATTAAAAAACTATCATTGTTATTTCTTTATTTATTTTTTTAAAGCTTATAAATGTAAGTCTTTGTTTCACTCAAAACTTTTAGGAGACATTTATTTCAAAGTATAACATTACATTCATAGGAATCACATTTTTAGGGATATTGTTATTGGAATGTTATTCTTAAGAAATTTTTAAAATATGTTTAATAGGATTTTAACATTATTCAAAATACTTAAAAAATTAAATATAATTAAAATAAAAATTAAGAGTTGAATAAGTGAGTTAAAATATAACTTCTAACATTCTCACAAGAATATAATATTCTCATCCCTCACTGTGAGAATAAAAATAAAGTAAAATATATTATAATTTTTTTTCTTCTAAAAATAAACTCTAAATAAATATGAGAATATGACATGTTCAACTTCCTATTTCCATAAATAAATTTTTAAGCTGTGAAATAAGCAAATTTTTTATCATGTTTGAATGTATTATCCAACTTTCAACATATTTCATTTAGACTCGTTTAAATCTATTTGTTTTTATATATATATATATATATATATATATATATATATATATATTATATGTTT